AAGCCATTCCCTGAATTTTCCCTCTCCTCTGGTGGCTGGTAGACTTTGCAGAAGTGAAGAAATACCATAATTTCTCTAGTGCTGAGTGCGTCCTTAAAAAACCTGGCTGGAGGAGCCTTCTGCAGCAAGGGCTGCCCCTGCAGAGCACGGCTGGGCTGCAAACTTGCTCGTCCCGTCCTGGGAGATACTGAAGCCAGGCTGAAACGCCACGTTGACTCTCTTCCCTTTCACCTGTGAGTCGTGTGAAAATGAGTACAGAAAATGCTGTAATTTTTGTGGAAATATCTTTTTGGAAGCAGTTTTCTGGCATATGCTTCAAACCAGCTTTTTACTGAAGCTGCTTTGCTGTTGGAAAGATTTCACTGGGGTGCAGAGCAGCTTTCTGCCCTGTGGTAGTGGGATGTGCCGCTGTGGTGACGCAGGGCTGGGCTGGTGCTGATTTCCTGCGCGGTGGAGCGTGGCTAGAGCTTGAACTGCTCCCCCAAAGAGGCTGGGGCTGCTGTTCTCTGGGGTATGGGGGGAAAAGCCGGGGGGGCCGAGTCACCCCTGGCTTGAGGCACCCTGGGAGATGGGGACTCAATGCACCCATGGGTGGTGGGGGGCACTGATGGATGCACCTGGCTATAGGGAGCTCCAGCCCTCCCACCTTGCCTTGCACCCTTGTCCCCAAAGCCACAAGCGAGCAGAGCAAAGGCAGGCCCAGGTATTTTATTGCTTCAGGTCGAGGGGGCAATGCTCGGGATGTGTGGCTTGGCAGGGACAATGCCAGGGATGTCTTGGGGGGGGAAAGAGACAAGGAATGATGTCCAGGATGTCTGGCTTGGCAGACACAGTGCTGGGGACATTTGGCTTGGCAGGTCCAAGGCCAGGGACATTGATGGGTGGGACAACATGAGGGATGTTTAGCTCAGCAGGGATGGTGCTAGGGATGTTGATGGTGGGGGCGATACCAGGGACATCCGGGCAGGAAGGGTGGCTGTCTGCCGGGGGGCGGCTGGGAGGCTGGTGGTCAGAGGAAGAGCTTGTCATGGCAGACCTGGCAGTACATCTTGTCGCCATGCTCGCGGAAGGCACCTTTCTGCAGCTGGCCCAGGCAGTAGGCGCAGATGAAGTGCTCAGGGTGGTACTTGCGCCCCGCGGCCGTGGTGCAGCGGCCCGTCACGGGGCG